GCAATTGCACCATTTTTAACATCAGGTCGTAAGTCTGCTCTTATCCCGGTCCTTCACATAAACTTATAGAAGAATTTTACAGGAGACTGTAGTTTAATTAAAATCTGCTTCACTACCTACATAGTATAAAACAAACTCGCTTTCTCCATCCCTATATCCATATGTATGCTTAAATCCTTAAAACTAGGTAACGGGTTTTGATGAGTTTTTTAAAAACATAGAGTGATTGAAGAGGTAGGTTTATATGTATTTAATAAAAAAATATTAAATAGTGCAGAAATTAGTATCAGCTTTTCATCGTGCGAAGCCGGGGAAGATCGAATATAATACTTAGTTAAATTGTATCCTTTAATTAGGATCTTAGTATCGGTATTCAGTTTCAATTTTGCGATTTTATCTACATTGTACCGTTGTTTGATCGTGGAAAATTATAATTATCGGCTTTAATTACTCGCATATCCATAGTAGTATCGATATATCGATACATCTAGCTTCTTAAATGCATTTAACCGCTGTAAAAAGAATGATAGAAAATTATCTTATTATTATTTACAGTCGGAATAAGTGTCTCTCTTGTAAAGAGGGTTTGTTTAATCTATTTAAGGTTTTTGGGTACCTATAACTAAATGCCTCAAAGAGCCAATAGATCACCACAGACGGGGCCCTATAGAACTGATGTTCAGCCGGGGTTGCGGGGTAAGCGCAATGAGGCACCGCGACCTCGGCCCAGAGCAAGACAAGGAACGGGAAGGTTTTTAGTCAGTAAGAGTCTGATACTCTCTCTCGCATTACCCTGGGCGGGAGAAGTCATTTGGTGATTTTCCCCTGACAAAAAAAAAGTATTTCTGAAAGCACTACATTTCTTTACTAATAGTGGTTTATTTAAGCGGGCTAGATTAATTTACATAACGCGTTCGTGTCTAGGTGAGAACGTTTGAAGAATACATGATCGTGTAATTAATGTATGTAATTGCTTGCCCTTGTTGTTAATTAATTCATTTTACGCATAGCGTGGTGTTGAGGTTGATTTAAAATAGTAGTACTTAATGATTTCTGTTAGTAATATAAATGAGGTTGAGCATACTAAGGGAAACACTTAAATAATAAATAAACCTTAAAGTTGACTAGTACGAATGGCTAAGGAAAGTCCATATCTTTACAATTTCAAGTAAATTAAGTAATAAATAAATACATGAAGGTACATGATTATGATAGATCATGTTCTTAACTACTTTTGTCTTCAAATAAATGATTTTAAATTAAACCTATTTACCATATATTCTAATTATAATAGTCTTCTTTAATAATTAAAAAAATGTTCCAAATTCTTCTTAATGTAGATACAGAATGAGTAGAATAGTACGAAATGAGAATACAGTTCGAGTTACTACAAAATTCAACATCCGATGTTACAAGTTTGTCCGGAAACTACTAAACCAAAATAGTATAAATTCAAAGACATATTTGTATCTAAGTAAATATTTGTAACTTGAAGCATTTTAAGTATTCTCAAGGTCCTTGTGTCTATTCGATCCTAGAATTCCGGATTGTTTTATTGTCCTCGTGTTAAGAATTTATCAAAATCTTTCCCTTCATTTATGACATGTAATAGTGACTTAGTGAGTGGTTCTAAATAAAATTGCTAAGGAAACAATTTTACTTGTAACCAGCATCTGCCTCGCGGTTTCACTCGCATAGTTTATAGCCCATGTTCACCGGAGATAGTGTAGTTTTCTAGCAATGAAAGAATTGTTCAAATAGGTCAAATTATTTTGGAGCATAATCAGCTCAAACAAACAAACCATCAAATTTGTTTATTCGAGTAGGTATCATTCAGTTCCATGCCATGGATGATTTTAAACTTTCTTCCATATATCTTTAAGCCGAAATAATGATGGTATCATGTTTTGTAATGATTGTTACTTAACGCATTGTGTTAAGGTCTATTATAGAACAAACAATTGTACACTTACTGTGTCGACAGATTCATTACGATGACTTCGGCGTAAGATTTGTTTAAGTAAAATTATTTCTTTGTTTTTGGAGAATTGGTTTATTTTACCTTGTAAAACAATTAACATGTACAGCTTATGATATATAAAATGTTATACCTAATCTAAGTTAAGTTTCTAATTTTAAAAATTATCCTTTATCGACCTTTCAGAACCTACAAAGGCCGTCCGACCACTGTACTGAAAACTATTTTATGTTAACCAATTTTAATATAACCTTTAACACTGATAAAACATTCAAATATTTGTCCAAAATAAATTCGGAAGTTTAAGGACAGCCTTAACAAATGTCATATAAATCTGTCGTGACTAACGAATTCAGTCATTAATTTGTTTACACCAACGATATTGTACTACAATGTATCATAGTATCAATATAGGTACACACAATAACAATATTAAGTAGGTATGTATATGTATACAAACATAAGATGAATGTACGCATTGTCCGATGCGATGATCACAAGGTGTATTAAAAACAACCAATGTTTTTTAAAATTGTCGATGGGATGACCAATAAGTAAGTACAACGAAAATATTTTATATATATGTATACTAAAACTTTGTATTGTTTTTAAAGGACTGTGGTAGTAGTTAATTGTATGTGTTTGTGAATATTTTTTTAAGAAAGTCCTCGGATAAACATCGCTTCAAATATTTACTAAGTACTTTTAGGACTGATTTTTTAATAGTTCAGATAAATGTTATCTGAGAAATAAAATTGTTACTGCCACTGCCTTATACCAAAATTCTGATGCGACAGCATCATAATTATTCCCCGGGTAAATTTTATCTAACCATTGAAAAATTAGCCCCTAAGCAGACGATTAAAAATAATAAAAAAAGTATTTATTTAAGTAGTAACATTTTGTCAACCTGTCAGGAGCCTTAGGAAAAGTGTTCGTTTAAATTTTTCGAAAATAGAACAAAGAATGAGTTCTGGATAAGATTTTTTTTTTGTTTTTCTATTCATTCTTATATTTGGATTAAGGCGAAATAAAGGCATTGACATTAACGAGAGACGCTATTTACAGGAAACCTTATAAGTACGTATCTACGTTACTAAACGAGGTTTGAAATCGACAGTACAACTATTGATTTATAAAGTACAAACCATAATACTAACGGCTTTTTTAAGTTTTCAGGGCTTAGGTTATGATTTTGAATTCTACATAATCCTACAAATAAACGTATTCCAAATCATAATAACAACGAAGATTCTTTAATAGAAAAATCCAATCTAAATTGAAAGATCGGTTCTCCAATGGCCACAATATCAAGAAACAAATAGGAAACACAAATAGAAATACCAGAATTAGATTATTTTACGTGTGACTTGAGTTTTCGCACTTGTGCATGTAAACCGCATCTAGGCCGTTCGGCATCCGGAGCCAACGTGAAATCGACTCCGCATATTCGATTCCGATGCAAATCGACTAAGAGTATGCGAGTGAAAATATCTAGACACGTTTGAATAAATCTTTACGGGCGAAATCATCAGCTGTAAACACTTAACTGTCTATAAAAACAGCAATGGCCGACGATTGATTGGATTCTATATTGATTGGGAGAAAACATTAAACAAACCTACTAAAATAAAGATTGAAATTGTACAAGTAACTGTTTTCTTAATAGATTTATATACATTTTAGTTAAGTGCCGATACTGATATTATGTAGCTGAAGAGTTTGTTTCTTTGAACGCGTTAATCTCTGAAACTACTGTTTCGAAGTGAACAATTCTTCTTATGTTGAATAGTCGACTTATCGAGGAAGGCTATATGATAAAAAGCAACACGCTATAACCTGGGGTGCGTCGAGTACCTAGTCTTTTATATTTAATCTTAGGGATCTGACAAACCTTCTTATTTACTCATCATCTTCCTGCCCTTGTCCCGTTTTATTTGGGGTTGGCGCAATATGTTTTTTTCTTCCATTCTGTCCTGTCACCCGTCACGCTATCGCTAACTCCTCTGTCTTCCATATCACTTCTCACACAATCCATCCATATTTTCTTTGGTCTCCCCCTCCCTCTCCATCCATCCACATTTATACTCATGACTTTTTTTGTTACATGCTTTTCATCCCTCCTTTTCACGTGGCCATACCAACCTTCTTATTTACTGAAATCTCATAATCCAGTAAAGCCAGCAACAGGCAATTTTGACCTAAAGCTTCAAGTGCTCCCCTATACATATTGTTATACATTGACATTTGACATAATAAAAGAATATATTCTGTTAAATAAGGTAAGGGACCCCGTTCTTCGTAGTCACGCTAACCCCCACTAGAAGAATGAGGCAGTCAAAAAGAACAATAAGTTATTGTAAATCAGTTACACTGGGCCCAGTATTGTTGTTTACGTAGAAGCCTATTAGACCTATTTTCTTTTCAACGTCAGAATCAAAATTAGGGTTCCTAAATAATTTGATCTACCAAAGAGTTTTATGAAAAAGTTTAGCTTATAATATACCTAATGTTTATTCATTACAATACTCGTATAGTTTTAGTCACTCTTATCCAGTATTTATGTAGAAAATACCTACAAACATATAAACAAATGTCACATTGTCATGTTTCCGATATCTCAGTTCAATTTTATGAAGCAGAAAGTTTTTCAAGTTTTGTTTTTATTTTGATAACGTAATTGTTACTTAGATTATTTAATCGATTGCTTCGAAAGTAGAAAGGTTGAATAACTTTTAACAGGTTTCGTTGACTGAAAGGAATATAATTATATCTGAAAATAGATATTGCGTATTTTTAGTTACGTAATTTAAATTGTAAGTAAAATGAGCCTGGATTTTCAATAATAAATCATATTTCAGTTTCTATATTGATGGACAGGAGCAAATTGAGGATGCGTGCGATCTAAATATCCTCAAAACCAAATTACCTACATATTGTTTGGAAATCTGAAACACCGGTGATTAAACGCAGTGCGGTAATTTAACTCAATTATCACACATAACGATGTATCGTTACTTACACAATAAACAATCCAATATCGATGAATCGATATATTAATCGGTATCCAATTCGGGAGTCAGCAATACACGCCGATTTAAATCCAATTAGTCAAATAGAAATCACAACACTGGCCACTTTTGTTAAGATATAAAAGAAGTTAAAAACTTCGATATGTCAAATTTGAATTTAGAATTCCACCGTACTTCGAGAGCGCGCGTGCGCGTTTGTACAACACGATGGCGTCCACACAACCGTGCGTCTACTTTCGAACTGAGACTGTTCGCCGTAGCTTGCCGCTTGAGACTACGACTGTTGCCTGAGGAATGTCGTATTGCAAGTCGGCTATTTTTCTTCACATGGTAGATAAAACTTGAAGGCAAAATAAAACATTGATTTGCCTCCAGCCATAACACACTGTACATATACTAACAATGAACACGACGACCTTATTAATGTCTTGAGGCAGGTTTATGAACGTAGGTATAATTTATGGACGAACGAATAGAAGAAACTTAACTATACCTTGATTACTTAGACCTCCTTTGGGTTTATTCTTTCCCGACCACCGTTATAGAAGCCATTAATAATTGCCAAAGTTGTTAAGGCAATTTACAATAGGTAAAAGGTTTATTCTTACATGTGTGGGTAGTGTTCTACATAAATTGAATTAACGGTCAAATTCGAATTTTGAAGGTTTCGATTTGCCATTTCAAATATTCGAGAATCATTTTAACGAGACAAATAAAATCATACTCCTTTTGGATTCGAGTCTGAAATAAGCCACATCTCTTTATATTCTGGTCGTGGCTTTCAGATAAAATTGTAACGCAGTGCAAAATGCGGTGTGCAAGTAGTGTATCTCTAAATAAGGGAGGGATAGCGGGATTTTTTCCTGCTCTATACAGGATTGGCGAGGTCTGGCATGCGGTAGTGCTGGTGTCCGGCCACGGCAAGTTGCTCCTTGGCTCCTAAGGGGTAATTTAGAAATTAAGTACCGTTTTCAAACTGCACTCGTGAATTTTCACACGTAAAACGAATTTTAAAGGGGAATAGCGCAGAGTACAAATTTGGTAACACTAATTCTATGTAACTTATGAGTACTTTATAAGAATAATGTGGCCGTGCCATTTTCGTCCAACTTCAAGAGCAGAAAAAATTCTTTGCGCATAATAATTGTAGAAGTCTAATGTTATCTATCATTTTTATTTTTTAAATTCTATCGATACCGTGCTAGTTGCTGAAACCATCTTAATATTCACTAAATCAACCAATCAAAAAATTACATTACATACACAAAAAAAAAGAAAACAATTACACTTAAACCGCCTTGGGGTCTTTTTCAAAAGCTGTCAAATAAGGTATTATGCAATGAATGATGTTTATTTATTCAGACGGTTCCTAAGTTGTCTGGTGTGATTTGTTGCATAAGTAGCGATTATTTATGCAAAAGAGAAACACCTAATATTCTCCTAAAGGTGAAAGACCTTACTGATTAGATGTACGCACGATATTTGTAGGGCAATGATATCGTGATAGTTAACGGGAAGCTGAGAGTGTAGTTTTAATATACATAGGAACATTTCAATATAAATATCGTACGAGAACAAATTAATAAAATATAACGAATAGATCTTAATATTTTCTTTAAAAAATATAAATTAAATTCCTTGTACCAAAGTTTTCTGAATTTTCAATAGAATGCAAAAGGACTAATGTCAAAAATTAATCTTACCTAATACAACTAAATATGTAGGATTGAGTTTTAATATATGTGTTTAAAATAAGTGAGTTTCGTTTTTATTAAATATTTTCAAAACTAGGTTTTTCCGAAAACAAGTTTTTAAATAATTTATAGAACCAGGTGTTACTTTGCGGAAATTTAAATATTATGAAAATATCTAGTTTTAATTACGCGACAAAAATCTAAGCTTGTTGCAGGATGCTATTACACCCTATGCAATCATGCATATACATATGCAGCAAAGGTAATATGCATATCCGCACGAGCAAAAAAACAAGTTTAATATAAGTAATAAACATAAAATTTGATCTTGAATATCTGATAGTATTTGAATTTATGATAATATTTGATGTGATTAAAGTGTGGGAGAGCCATGCTTCGGCACTAATGGGTCGGCTCGACCGGAGTGATACCACGGCCTCACAGAAGACCGGCGTGAAACAACCACAGCGTTGTGTTTCGCCGTGTGAGTGAGGTTACCGGAGGCCCAATCCTTCCCCGCCCCCAATCCCTCCTCAATCCCTAAATCTCCAAATCCCTAATCCCTAAAAGGTCGGCAACGCACTCGTAACTCCTCCGTTACGGGTGTCCATGGGCGGCGCTGATTGCTTATTGCTTACCATCAGGTAATCCGTCTGCTCGTTTGCCGACCAATTACATAAAAAAAATACATTTGATTATGATATTTGTAAAAGGTCAGGAAAAGTTTAAGGACCAAAAAACGTTGCAGTATGATGTTCGCAGAGTGAGTTGTAATGTAATAAAATACCTATACCATATTTAGTAGCGCCATCTTTTGTACTTAGCTAAACAACAAATGAACAAAAATCAAACCCCGTTAGTTGCGAAGATTAATCTCAACAATAAACGTTTAAAAATAAATAACAATCCATATTTTTTTCCTAACTTTCTCTTCAGCCGAGTCAATGTTCCATTAAAGTTTATTTTTTAACCATTCATAAACGTGCGGGAAGTAATTTAAAAACGTAGCTATCATAAATGAGGTGCGCATTACCGTTGGCTTTAGTAAGTACTTGGTTATTGTCAGGCCTGAGTTAATTATAATGATTTTAGCAGCCTGATTCGACTGTTTTGTTCGTGGTTGAGGGCAAAGCGAAAAAAATAAATAACGGAGGGCCTACATTGACGTGTTAAAGCGTGAATCTTCCGGGTGAGAAAGAGGGATGGTGCTATACACCTTTCATAGCTCCATCCCTCTTTCTCGCCCGGAAGATTCACGCTTTAACACATGGTAGGCCTACAGCACCCTGTTTGGAGCAGGAAAAGGAACGGAATGGTTTTTAGTTAATAAGAATCTGACTGCCTCTTGCCCCACACAGGGCTGGAGAAGTCCTTTTATGACTATACATCTAAAAAGCCTTATTTGTCTGATCAGGGTGCTTATTGGTTGCCAGAAATGAACCATCGCTTGGTTCTATTTGGAAAAAGAGACGGTTATTATAGGCCTAGATAGAATTTTACAATTTTGTCGCTGTACGAAATCCTACTAATATTATAAATGTGAAAATTGTGTATGGATGTATGTATGTCATTCTTACACGTAAAAACGGCTAGATATAGCCGGATATAGGCAGATAGGTGACATCCTGGCTTTTTATCGACACATCACGCTTGGAGAGCCGCGTGCGGAAGATAGTTTAGAACAAAAGCTTTTAGGCGCACAGAGTTTGGTAAATCATCACCCATTCCCCGTCTCTGTCGCTTATTAAACAACTGCAGTGAATCTTTGGACGTACACTTTGACTCTTTGTCGCAATTCCGAAAGAAGTTGGCTGATCTCAATTAGTCGACTTCAGCTCTTCCTTTTTATTTACTTCTTGTCTATTGTAATTTGTTTTAAACTTGTCAAATAGAGAATTTTGTTATAAAATGTATCTTATCTTTAATATAGTTAAGTCTTGTTAGATATAATTTTTATTATTTATCACTGTTCATAACGCTCTCTTTTAATTGTACCTGCTACCTTAATATCTTATGCAACTGGCTTGAAAATTGATAATTGTTGACTATACATTTAAGTGTTGTAATAACTACTGGTGGTTAAATATAAATTTCTAATAAATATAAATAAATAAAAAGCTGGTAAAATAATATTCTAATCTTCTGTCAAATTCTTTGTTAAATAACAAGCGCGATGTTATGTTATTTTCTGCTCGATTGACACCGAACGCGTGAAAAACTAATTACGAAATCAATGAAAAGTCATCATTTAGTTTCACTAGTGCGGCGCAGTTAGAATTATATCGATTTGAAACGTTAGCCACATAATCGAGTAATCGATCAAGTTATTCGGCATTATAATTTAAGCGTTAGGTAATTTTTAATTAACGGTTATTGATACTTATTAATTGGTGTTGTTACGTCTATTAATAACGTTGTATTGTCGGTGTTCTGTAAGTAATTATACTGGATTTTAATCAATTCAGGTACTTACATATACATGTAGATTATTAGAGTAGTTTAATGATTTTGTTCATCAATGATGGAAAAATACATATCCTTAGTAACTTAAGGGCTACAATGATACCTTACTGTGTTTTAAAGAAAAACATTACAAAACTTCTATTTTTATTAGTCCTTAGAAACCTGTAACACAAGGCAAGTCAAATGCGCGATGCGGAAACTCGGAAATGTCATTCCAAAGGCGAAATAAAATAGGTTTCATATGCGAGGAAGAAGGTCACGCGAAAAATCACACAGTTGTTGACTGCCGTCTATATAATGGGATATATAAAGATGCTATTGGAATCAAATCGAACGATTCGGAGCAGTCGGTCTGAAATATCAGGTCAACGATTCGAATTCCTCGTCGCTGAATATAATCCAGAGGAAGAAGCTGGTACTGAGGTACCCCTGCCCAGAGATGAGCACAGTATTCCATACGGTGTCAAACGTACGCCTTATAATGCATGCGATGCCCTGGAGTGAAAAACTTACTCGATCTATTGAGCGCACTTATATCGTTTCTTCGAGACTAACTTATCCTTACTGCCAAATAGGTATACTTACGTAAAAACTATCATACAAATATTTCAAATACGCAAAATTTACATTTAAATACACAGTAAGTGCTAACACAGCAGTGTGTTGTTGAGAGCTATACAATTAAGCCGCTTGTTTTCCCAAATAGCTTCATTAAAACTGGCCCATATATTTTCACAAAAGGGACGTGAGAGGAATGCACAAACACCCTCTATAAACATGAACGTTTTCCCGGCAAAACGGTGCAAACGGAATACGGATGAATAAAAAACAAAACAAACCAATCAGAGGTATGAATGTACGGAATGTACCCGGCGCCGGTGAGCGACACAATTTATTGAAAAAATATACAATTCATTCATTCACTCCAATTTTGTATGGAGCGATGAATATGTTGGTGTATTATATTTTTATGGATTATGGCTAATGCTTGATTGAATTTGTATTTACTTAATTCTTTTATTGAGTCGTTTATGTTATTTTTCAAGGACTAAGGTCTGGTAAACGGTTGCATACACAGGATTGTCTTACCATTTTCTGCGAAATGTAAAAACACGATTGTAT